CGAGATCCGCGCCCTCTACAACGTGCTGGCCAAAGTCAAGCGGGAGCGAGACGAGTACAAGAGGAAGTGAGTGATGGGGGGATGCGGGCGATCCGCGCTGCACTGCGGGGAAACGGGGCCAGCCCTGCCCGGGAGCGCTCGGGGACAGCGCGGAGGACGCGGGCACCGCGCTCCCCCTCCCCGGGAGCTCCTGGAGGGGTTTTATTCGTGCCTAAAGGGGAGTTGGACCTCGTCTTGGTGCCCAGAAAACTGTGGGGTCCTTCCCTGGGGGAGGGGATGGAGAGCCTGGATCCACCGTCAGCTTAAAATAGAAAAAAAATTATATATATATATGTAAATATCTATATCTATCTATCTATCTATCTGTCTATCATATCTGTCTATCTATCTATCTATCTATCTATCTATCTATCTATATATATCTATATATGTATCTATATATGTATATATATGTATCTATATATGTATATGTATGTATCTATATATGTGTATATATATCTATATATATCTATATATGTATATATATATATCTATATATGTATATATATAGATATATATCTATATATGTATATATGTGTGTATATATATAGACACACACATTTATATATATATATATATTAGAAAGGAAATAATCCTTTAGTTATTAGTATTGCATAGTTGCTCCTAAATTTAGCTCGCCTTCATTTCTTTCCTCTATATATATATATATATATATATTTATTTATTTTATATTTTTTTTGTGGTCTGATTACTCCAGTAGCCGGTTTGTGTGCGTGCCAGCCCCACGAAATTAGCTCAGCGCTGCAATATTTGGGTTGCAAACACTGCAGGGCAGCGTTTGCGCTCCGAGATGTTGCTGGGAATTAGGAGAAACAAAAGCCTTTTGTAAAGCTCGATGGTCTGGAGGTCTCCCCTGGCCTGTGGCAAGCCCTGGCCTTGGGATGGTGATGGATGGTGATGGATGGCGTTCCCTTGGATTGCTGCTTGGCTGAGATGGAGGCCAGAAGGGGGAAAAAAAAAATGTAGTTTGGTTTCTGCAGGGAAATTCCTGCATTGTGTGAGGAGCTGCTGTCCTTCGTGGGCTCTCTCGGCCGGAGTTTGGGCGTGTTTAGCTTTAAAACGGTTCAAATTCAGGCTTTGGTCGTGCAGAAGGCGCCGAATCCGCGCTGGTTTTGCGCATTTGGCGGCTCTGGGGAGCGCGGATCCCTCCAGCCCAGCTTTGCAGACTGCGGTGAGCTCTGCTCAGCCTCCCCTGCTGCAACCAGAGACATTTTCTGGGCAGCTTTGGCTGGTCCAGAGAGGATCCGTGGATTTCCTCACCCGCTGCAGCTCCTGGGGCTGCTCTGCTCTCGTGGCTGGAGATGCTGGAGAAAAGGAGTTGGGCTCTGTTTTCCAGGCTGGAGCTGTGGTGGCACAGGCTGGGTTTGGTTTGTGTGGCTGAGGAAAGGGAGGAGCAGAGGAAGTGCTGCTGCTTTGAGAAAGGGGGGTCCCACACTGCCTGGGCTCTTTTGGACCACAAAACTTGAGGCACAGCCACAAAACTGCTTCTCCTTTTCCATGGATATTTGATTTATTCCCACTTCTGATGGAAGAGGAGACTTGTGAGCCTTCAGGTTCAGCCTTTCTGCTGATACCAAGTTGATTTTTCTGCTTTTAAAAAAAAAAAATCTGATTTTTTTGATTTTTTTCTGCTTGTGTAAAACACATTTTCTCCTCTCTCAAGGGTTTGCATAAACCAGATAAATCCAGCAGAGCAAAGGAGAACCTCAGATCTTATTTTTGCCCTTGAAAGATGTTTTCCTTGTGTGTGGGGGGAAAAAATAAATAAAATAAATGAATATCAACCCATGCCAGGTTGGTAATGTTGTACCTTCAGCGTGGGATTTTTTACTGGGTTTGAGCTGCTTTGGGTGAGCTCAGAGAGAAGATTTTGCTGTTTGATTTTCCTGCTGGGGTTTGACACCCTGAGCTCTGGGGGATGCAGGGTTTGGGATGGGGTTTGTTCTCCCTGGAACCTCTCTGGGGTTCCCTCGTCCTGATTTATTTAGGGAGCTCAGCTCCACGTGCCTGGCACAAACCCAGCTGAGCCACCAGGAAAAGAAGGAAAAGAAATGTAAAATAAAGAAGGAAATGAAAACTAAAATAAAGAAGGAAATGAAAAATATAAAATAAGGAAGGAAATGAAATGTAAAATAAAGAAGGAAATGAAAAGGAATGTAAAATAAAGAAGGGAATGAAAAGAAATCTAAAATAAAGAAGGAAATGAAAAGAAATATAAAATAAAGAAATGAAAAGAAATGTAAAATAAAGAAGGAAATGAAAAGGAATGTAAAATAAAGAAGGAAATGAAAAGGAATGTAAAATAAAGAAGGGAATGAGAAGAAATGTAAAATAAAGAAGGGAATGAAAAGAAATCTAAAATAAAGAAGGAAATGAAAAGAAATATAAAATAAAGAAGGAAATGAAAAGGAATGTAAAATAAAGAGGGGAATGAAAATAAATATAAAAAAAGAAGGAAATGAAAAGAAATGTAAAATAAAAAGAAAAGAATCTTTTATAGCTCAGAGCCAGCAGAGCCTTTGTGGAGCAGCCAGGCCCTGTGACCTCACCCAGGAGCCACCAAGGATCCTTAAGGAAATGATGATAATTCCATTTATTTCCTGGGCCAGGAGAGGCTTTTCCCCCTTTTCAGGGTGGCCAGGGAAGTTGTGGCTGTGGGATGTTTGTGCTCTGAGTGTTTGGATGTGGATGAACCATGTGCTGATATTTCTGCTGCTGTTAAACTCACTCGTGTCCCACCTGGCAACTGCAAAACGCAGGGGGGGGGGAAATAATTCCTTTTGTTTCCTTTCTTGAAGAGGAAAAGTTGCCTTGCTGCTGTAAAATAACAGCGGGAGATCATCCAGGATGTTCCTTCCAATGGAATCCCGCCTGTGCAATTCCTGGGATTAGGAATGGCTTCATTTGGGGGAAATATATTTAATTTCTTTCTTCCATTCCCTAAAATAATTATCCTCAGACAACAAACTGGAGCTCTAAAAGGGCACACAAATCATATTTTTCCCCTCCTTTTGTTTGTGTCTCAAGCAAAATGAGGAGCCCAACAGATATTTCAGTCCAAAACTGCTTTTGCTTTTTTCCTCCAGGTGATATTTTACCCAAATGAGGGATAAATTTGCATCTTTTCTACTTTTTGTGTTGTCTTAATCTCATATTTTAATTTTTTTAAGCAAGGATCATGATTTTACACGAGTTTATGACTTCATGAGGGAGTTAACAACTGGAGGAGTTTTAGAGGAAAAATCAAGTTCAATAAATTTTTAATTTTTCTCCAGCTATGGAAAATTAATTTAGCAGAGCTTTTGGCCATAGATCTGACTCCAAATCAAATCATTTATTGTTTATCAGATATTTTGTTATTTTTACCTATTTCTACCCTTTTAGCAGGAAAAACCAAAATAGTCTCTGCAAAATTGCATTTTTTCAGTCAACACAATAAAAAAAATAAAATACCTTCAGGGACAATTAATTGAAAATGGAGCAGAGTGACATTTTTAAATTTAAAACGCTCTGGTGACGGGATTTTTTATTTCTAGACAGAATAATGCTACTATAAATAATAAAATAATAATAATTAATAAATAATTAGTAAATAATAACTAGTATAATAATAGTAACAATAGTAATAGTAATAATAATAATAATGATGATAATAATGATGATAATGATGATGATGATAATGATAATGATAATGATGATGATAATAATAATAATAATAATAATAATAATAATAATAATAATAATAATAATAATATTTACTGGTGAGGTTCTGTCCTGTTTGTCACAGCCCCGGTGCCAGGGGGATCACAGGAGCTGGGGGTGCCCGGGATGTGTCCCCAGCCCAGGCTGAGGTGTCACCTTCCCGGAGAGCCTGCGGGAGCTGGCACGTCCCTGAGCGCTGGGGCAGCGGGGACAGTGGGACAGGGACAGTGGGGACAGTGGTGACAGTGACAGTGGGACGGTGACAGTGGTGACCGTGACAGTGGTGGCAGTAGTGGTGACAGTGGTGCTGTGACTGTGACTGTGGTGACAGTGACAGTGGTGACAGTGACAATGGTGCTGTGACTGTGGTGACAGTGACAGTGGTGACAGTGGTTCTGTGACTGTGACAGTGGTGGCAGTGGTGCTGTGACAGTGGCAGCACAGCTGTGACAGTGGCAGTGACAGCTGTGCCAGAACAGCAGTGAGTGACAATGGCAGCACAGCAGTGACAGTGACAGTGACAACGCCAGTGCTAGTGGCACGTGGCAGTGACAGCACAGCTGTGACAATGACAGTGACATTACAGCAGTGACAGTGATGGCAGTGACAGTGACAGTGCCAGCACAGCTGTGACGGTGCCAGCAGTGCCAATGACAGTGACAATGCCAATGCCAGTGCCAGCAGAGCTGTGACAGTGACAGCAGTGACAGTGACAGCAGTGCCAGTGCCAGCAGTGACGGCACAGCAGTGACAGCACAGCAGTGACAGTGACAATGACAGTGACTGTGCCAGCACAGCAGTGCCAGTGACAGCAGTGACAGTGACAATGACAGTGACAGTGACAGTGCCAGCAGTGCCAGTGCCAGCAGTGCCAGTGCCAGCAGTAACAGTGACAGCAGTGCCAGTGCCAGTGCCAGCACAGCAGTGACAGTGCCAGCAGTGCCAGTGACAATGACAGTGCCAGTGCCAGTGACAGCAGTGCCAGTGACAGCAGTGCCAGTGACAGCAGTGACAGTGCCAGTGCCAGCACAGCAGTGCCAGTGACAGTGCCAGCACAGCAGTGACAGTGCCAGCACAGCAGTGACAGTGACAGCAGTGCCAGCACAGCAGTGCCAGTGACAGCAGTGCCAGTGACAATCCCAGTGCCGCGTGTCCATCCCAGGCCGCGCTGTCACTGCCACCCCCCAGCCGTGCCCTCCATCCCGGGCTGGCTTTAC